GTTCGAGAGTTCAAGATGGAGGCCGTGTGAACCGTGGGTTTCCTACAAAGTGTCACTGCGGGCGAGAACTCGTCATCTATACATCGAGCACGAAGAAGAACCCAGGAAGACCTTTCTTACGTTGTCCAACCAATCAAGATGTAAGTTTATTTGATTTTGTGTGTTTGTGTTTGGTCGGAAAATGAATTTCGATGTAATTGCAGGACCATTTGTTTAAATGGGTCGAATATTGTGTGTACGAGGAGGTTGTAGATGTTATACCGAAGATTTCTATTATTGATAGCGAGGTAAACAATGCCAAATCTGAGGTTGCATTCGAGATTGCAGAGTTAAAGAGTTTGATCAACGAATTGAAGGAAGATGGAAGTTTGAGCAAAAGGGAATTTCAGAGATGGAAATTGATGACCAAATTGTGCTTGGTGTGCCTTTGTATAACAGTCATTGCAATTGTGATCATAATGTTCTGTAAGACCAGAAACTTGTTCTTGGTTACTAGTGTAGTTGTGTGTTTGGTGTTTTGTCCTTAGTTGTTCTTGGTCTTGTTGTTTTGTTTGTGTTTTGTCTAACTTTGTAATGAAAGGTAATGAAATGAGAAATTTAAAGCAAAGTTCAAATGCATTGTTTTGTTTTCCAATTGATATGAACTCTGATGCATTTTCTAAATCTAGATACATACGATCATAACTAGGCACAAATATAAATACCGCGTTAAAATCCTGCGTACCATGCTAAATTATTAAATAAACACCAATTATTCAGTAACAAATCCTAAGACAGACAATTAGAATCTCCAATAAGAATAAGGACAAATCATAAACCAACAATTCACTTCTCAGCGTACCCATCATACATCTTAATAAGCAATTTCTTGGCTTCAACAGCCAACTCCTCAGGCCTAACCCCTCTAGATGCCTCAATCCCACCTACTGCATGCCTCTCTATGAACAAAAGAGACATCAGGCCCCTCTCCGAAGGGTGTAAACAAGTCGGAAGAAGTGTGTCTCTGCTTAGGAGGAATGGGTTAGTGGGGACTGAATTCATCAGTTGAGGCGACACTTGGCGAACAACGAAAGGGAGCATCTCCAACAAAGGTTTTATTTCTTTTTGGAGCCTAGTGTCCCGACGCACCTTCTTGTTGCAATCAAACAAATAGAGATATCTCCCCCTGATATCAAAGCACATCCCTACCCAGTGTTGTTTGTCAAAGTTGAATGGGAAGTAGAGAGTATCAAAGTTCAGAGGGAAGCACGACATCAAATCTTGGTCGAATACATACTTCTTCTTAACAGACTTTTCAAATTTGATTCGATGACCAAGGACAAGGAAAGCAAATTTTGACCCCTAAAAAACCACCCTAGGTTGATTTAAGCCAACCTCAAAGGTAGCCCACTTATCACAAAAATACTTGATAAATGCATCCATCATCTACAAACAAGAGAGCACAAGGTTTACACATGATATGAAACAACATTTATTAGAAGAAGAAGATTTAGATACTAACCCATGTTCCCATTACAACTTGTAGTCCAACAATCTCCTCCACGTCCTTGGCTACGAGGAATAAGCTCCTCCCAAAATTAATTTTTCTGACAAGGTCCACATCAATATGTCAAGATATTAAATAAACTAACCAGATATGTTTACGAATTTCTAGACATAACCAGTTATAGATGGACATATTACCCACCATCCGCTAAATACTTCTCAACTTCCAACCACTTCTTATCAATAGCATCCCCTTCCCCTGACACATTTTCCTATGAACCAACAAAAGCCCCAGTCGGGAAGAGAGCAAGAGTTCCAGCCTCACTAGATTCCTTTCCCTGACATTCAGCGTCATCATTCACATTTTTGGTAGCAGCATCCTGGTCATCATTCACATCCTGCTCCTTAGGAACATCCCCACTTTTGGCAGCAGCATCCTGGTCATTAAAACCATCCCCACTTTTTCCACCACCATCCTGCTCCTTAAGACCATCCCCACTTTTCGCAGCAGCCTCCTGGTCATTAAGATCATCCCCACTGAGAACAACAACATCCTCATGCTCTGGATCAGGAGCTAAATACTCAGAGACCTGCTAACAAATAAAACACTATTAACTACTATATCATGGTATGAACAATAATGCCCGATACATATACACATGTGTTGACATTGCAGTGAGTAACTAACCTCCGCTTCACCAGACAGGTTCAGAGAATCAAGCACAGATTTAACAGTATCATCCGGATGTACATCGACAAGTTCCTCACCATCTCCTTGTTGACTAGCCGTTCTAACATCCTCCCTCCTTTGCCACCTCTTTCTTCAGTCTCTACATCCTCCATAATAACAGAAGCCTCTCCTTTTTGACTAGCCGTTCTAACATCCTCCCCTCCATTGCCACTAGCCGTTTCAGACTCATCCCCTACTAGGTTAGTAGCCGTTTCAGTCTCATCATCATCTCTAATCTGCCTCAACCTTCCATCAACACGCATCCGTTTCCGCTTGGGTAGAACTGTCTTTTTGGCACGGCTAGGGGGTTTGACCTTACCCTTGGAAACAGGAGCAACAACCTTACCACCAACAAGCGCAGCTCCACTTTTCCCCTTTAAACGAGACACCAGGCGATCCTCCATGCTACTAACAACTAAAGAAACTTGCGAACTAATTTGCTTTGCTAACCACTCCATTTGGGATTCAGAAAATGGTACAGGCTGGCTACCATCACTACTGCTGCCACAAACAGGAGACTTCTTCCTCTTCCTGGACTTTACTACATTTTTCCCTTCAACTTTTTCTTTAGGTTCTACAGGAAGCGCAGACACGACCACACCACCTCCAAATTCATCACCAGACCATTGGTGGCCTTCTTCAACTAACCTAACCAAATTATCAACTTTCACATCTTCCACTTCGTCAGACCAAGAAAAATCTTCCCCCGCAACAGCCTCATCAAGAGGAATAATAGATTTAACAGAAACCTGCAAACAACCAAAACCTCTATTAACTACTATGGCATGGTACAAACAATAATGCCCCGATACAAATGTATTGACATTGAACTGAATAACTAACTTCTGCTTCACTATTTATCACCCAAATTGGCTCTAATTTTAACTTGGCCAATGCCATAGCACCAACCACTACACCTTCTTCTTCGGAATCATCGCTTACGAAGACAGGAGTATCAACCGGCATGCTCTTCTCAATGTCAGGGACATCCTCTAAAAGAACCAGTTGCAACGCATGCACAAAATCTTGAACAACAAAGATTGTTTGCGCAAGCCCAGAAGCTTTTCGGGACTTGATACATGACATAGTCATCTCAAACAAAATCCTGCCCCATGGATGATTAAGAAATTTGTCAACGTCCCTCAACACTTCTGCGGTTTCTTCTTGGATCTTCATATTCAAAGATCGAGGGCACAAAACACCATCAATCAGAACCAATAAAGGATATTTCAATCGGGTGTCGGGGTCACGGACAACGCCGCTTTTAAGCCGTTTAATTAAAATCTCCGGTGTCACCTCTTCATTCTTCACGAACAAAGTGAACCAGTAAGGGGCTTCAATTGTCTTCTTCTTTATGGTGTTCTTAATCATCTTCTTTTTTCCATCGGCCTTTCAAATTGAAATTGGATCGCACCGTAAACCCGTCACTGATGCAAACTCCCTCAGACCAAACCTAATCGGCTTACCCGCGAATACGAACCAAATCTCATGCTTTTTCTGGATTGCTAACTGCCTTGTAAGCAAAAACAAACAAAGTTTGTTGGAAAAAAAAAACTTTTTCCCAATATCGGACAATTTCCCAAGCCGCGAGCCTTTGATCTTCAAAATTTCGTCATCCTTCAGATACTCCGCTAAATCGTTTAGGTATTAGAGCTGGAAGTACTTGTGAACCCTATCGCCGTCTGGCTCTTCGCCAGACTTAAAGACTCTCTTCGGCAGGTTTTCCATCTGACCTCACCATTCAGATCTCTCTCTCTCTCTCTCGCTTTCGTTACGGTTTCGACAGAGGGAGAAGAACAGAGAATTCAAAAATCCAACAGAGAAACGAAACTGACTTCAATAAATGCAAAAGAGAAACTATCGCTTTTAACTATCAAACGACACATAAGCCGAGGGTTTCGAATCGCAATTATGTCTCGGTGTAACTACTAGACTCTACAAGCAATAGGGGTATAATGGTCTTTTCAAGACTAACCAAACACACACATTATTTACGAACGTGCCACTGCTCCTTTGAATTAAATACTTCTCAGTCTTACGGTAGATAGTGTAATTACTCATTATAATAACATATTACATAGAATGATAACGTGCTAACATATTAAATATCCGAATAATATTTATATTATCATAGTAAGATAGTCGATATATGAATAATATTTATATTAACGTGTAAGTCATATATAATATTTACCAATAACAATTGATAACCAGATTAAAGTGATAACAACGAAAATAACCAATAACAAAAATAACAAGTTTTCTCACTTAATAAAAAACTTACAGAAACAATTACATTGGCGATTCTTCACCGCCGCAGATGCCGAATATGGAGGATTCGATTTTGCCGACCAACAAAATTTGCTTGGCCACTATCCATCTGGTTTTGACGATACTTTGCGAGCAATTTCGAGAGACGCCGGAGAAATTGTATCAGAATTTGATGGAGAGAGAGAGACATATCAGAAACTTCAAAAATTTTGGATCTCAAATCCATATGAGCCGTCATAAATTAGTGCATAAGAGTTGGTACGGTGGCTTGCCAGAGATGGGACAAGTCTAATGATGGTGTTCGTGATGGACTATGTGTCGGAGCTGTCCAGATTTGAAGGAGGAAGTGACGAGGAGAGAGGTTTCACAAATAATCACACAATTATTAAAAAAGGTTAGTTTTGTTTATTTACACCAGCACAGTAAAGTACAACAGTACATAAATGTGTCAGTTAATTTCTCATTCGTCTGAATACATATCATCATATTACCCAATTTTAAACAACAAAACAACTTTACTAAAAACAAATTGGAACCAAACTTAATAAAATATTTGGAATAGGTAACAAATTGTCACCACATAGCTCAGACACTTAGCAGTTACATATCATCACCACATAAACTCCTTAAAGCAACACATACACACACTAAGCAGTTTACAAACGAAAGACACAAAGCAACTCATTAATTGACATTAAGACGAGAGAAACCCCAAAACACCAAATCATCAAGCCTCTCGTTGGTCGGACTATTACCACCATGAACCAACAGACCTTCCTCACCATCCTTAACCGCAGCCGCAAACGCGCACCACCCGCGTGGACTCGGCTTCTCCTCCTCGTTCACATCCACAATCTTCTCCCACACTAATGTCTCTGTATCAAGCTTGTAAATCTCTCCAGTCAATTTCCCAGCTCCCATGTGCATCAACTCATGTGGCTCTTCCTCCCCACCATAAATAACAATGTATTTCCCATAAGAAACCGCCGGAAACACGCTTCTCGCCGGCGGTACATCCCCGGTAGTCTCCACAGCTTTCCATTGCTCACTAGCCAAATCAAAACAATGAATATCACCCAATTCATTACCATCAAACCCAAACAAAACCCAAATTCTCCCTTCCACAACCACAAGTCCCGGTGCTCCTCTGCCTTTACAAGCTTCCCCAGCCGCCGGATACTCAACCCATTTCCGGTCAACAACATCATACGCATGAAGCGTATTCACACGTCCTTTAGCAGTAACACCACCAAAGACATAAACTTTCCGATCATCACCAGCCATTGAATGATAGCTACGACCAGGAAGCCCTTCCTCAACCGGAGACAACAATTTCCACTCATTAGTCTCAGTTTCATACGAATAAAGACCATTGTACCTCCGTTTATCATCACGGCCACCGTAGACATAGATCGTTGAACCGATCGTGACCATTGAGACACCAAAACAGGGGAAAGGAGCCTCTCCGGTCGCAGGAGCTATCGACCATTCTTGAGTCTCAAGATCGAAAACGTAAAGATCGTTGTCAATATGGATCGTTGGCTTAAGTTCACCACCAAAACAGTAAACTTTGTTACCAACGACGGTCATGGCATGTGAGCTTCTAGCCCCAGGACCAGCTCCTTTTTGACCCACCTGATTAACATAATCAAAATCACATATTAAAGATCCAAGAACCAAATCAAAGAATATAAATATCGTTAATTTATAATCTAGAGATTGAAAGATTGAATCTTTACCTTAACCCATTTGTTCTCCGCCGGACACATTTTTTTTTTTTCGTTACTCACCAGAAAGATTATTTTTAGAGAATGAAAGAAAAAAGTTTTGTGGCTGTTGTTGTTGATGCTGTTGCGTGTACTTGATTTATAGGAAAATGTGGTATCAAGGGACCACAAATTAAAGTTCAATGTAAAGTAGGATTTCTCTTAATAAGAAACGTCTAATATTAAAAAAATAAATGGAGATACGTTACCATGTATGATACTATTTCTTTTTTAATTGTGACAGATTGAAAAACATTTCTGTAATACTACGAGACGTGTTCTTTGGCTTACTTATTAAGAAAAAAATCTTGATTAAATTAATATTTTTAAATTTTTTTGTTTATTTCTAGAATTAGGTGGCATAGTCGTAGTATAGGATAAGATTCAACAAGATATTTAAGAAGGTAAATATATTAAAAATCATTCTTCAGTATTTTTTTTGTAATTACTATTCGTCAATTCCTGTCAATACATGTTCTTGTCCTGTTTGAAAAATCGGTAGGCGCTAGTCGGACATTCGGTATGGACCTAACGATTAATTAGAAAATTGGATTAAAATCGAGGATTAATCGGGGATTAGTTTTAGGGTTATTTTAATATTTTAAAAATATATTAATCTAATATTGTTTTCAAAATGATAGGAAACACATAAAAATATATTTTAAAGCAAAATTTATGATTTTTTATTAAAAATTAAGAGTTTTATTAAAAATTTGAACATAAATTATTGTAAAACATCACAAACTTCCAATTAAAATGTTTAAATAACAGAAAAAAAAAGTTGTGTTATACTTGCAATTAAAAAATAATCAGGATATGTAAGAATAAGCGGAAAATAATCGGATTAGACGGGAATTAATCGGATTAGGCGGAGAGTAATCGGGTGACTGATTTTTTAAGGGATTAATCATTAATCGAAGCGGAGAGGGTGGACCTAACAATTAAGCGGGGAGTAATCGAGCTAGACCAAAATTTTTAGAACAAGGGTTCTTGCCCATTTATTCAGAATCTCTAATTGTTTTTTCAACTTTGTAACAGTATTATTATACGTGCTATGCAATTTGAGTAATTGTGAATAGAGTGTAAGATGATATGATGTCCACGGTGTGGATCTCGTGTAAACGTGGCGGTGCTTATCTTTATGGTTCACTTTTGATCAGAGGGTCACATGCGACTTTTATTATTAAGAAAATAAAAAAATGAAAAAAAGAGAGAGAACAAAAGCTTTCGGACAAAATTAAACAAAGGAGAGAAAAAGCTTAAAGGAAAAAAAAGAGAGGAAAAGAAGGAATGCATGTAGACAATGTGAACAAGAATCTGGTGAATAATTCAGGCAACATTAATCTAGGCTATACATTGGGGCCAAATTTAGCAGTTTCAACTTTCATTTATACTTTAACCCATCCCTCTAATTAACGAAAATTTTGTTGATATTTTTCATCAGCATCAAACTCTCAAAATGTATAGGCTTCTAGTCTAGTAGTCTTTATTAATGAATCCTTGTTTTTTGTTTGTTTGATATTGAATTCACTGAATAGGCTTTTTGACAAGGTATGCATTTCAACTCTATGGAAAGTACGGAAGAGTAGACGACATGGCGAAGTTCCAACTTTATCCACTCAACGGATCGGAGGGATAGTCCAAGCAAGTCCGCAACAGGTTAGCGTCCATTAGAGAGCAAAGAGATCGAAAGTATGAAGGGTGTATGGCGCTTTGGTTTGCATCACGATAAGAACGAGTTCGACTTTTTGGTTTTTGTTTTCATGAACATTGTATTATAACCATTTTAACACAAACACTGCACTAGATGCAAAACAGTTTTTGTTGAATAAATTTTACATTTTATTCTAAAAAAAAAAAGAAATTGAATTTAGTAAATATCGTTAAAATCTTGGCAAAAAATCACATGAATAAGAATATTCTGACATATTCTAAATTAATGTTTCCATCTCTAAGCAAAGAAACAAAAGACTCCATGTAGTTCCCGACATTACCATTTTATCTTCCGCCTATAAATCTACTCTAACCCCCGAATTAAGGCATATATTTTTCTATGAACCGTGAACTTGATAAATTGATATTTGTAAATATATATTATGATTGTCAATTCTGATCGACAAATTAAAAGGTGATACAAAAAAAAAAAAAAAAAAAAAAAAATTAAAAGGTGATACTTGTATTTTTTCCAGGTTTTATATTCAAGGCATGGCTTAACTATATTTGGTGGATTTCAATGAAATATCTTTTATTATTTGTTTTTTAAAATAAACCATAACACCCGTTAAAAATTTACTATTTTAGATCGTAAGCCATGTTTTGATGGATTTCTCCAAAAGAGGTTAAGCAAGTTAGAATACATTGAATTTCTAGGAAACTTATGTGGAGCCAATAGAATCGGCGATAAAACCTTATTTTATAAAAATGGTGAACTTTTACTTCCACATCGTTGATATATGTGTCACAATTAATCTATTTATAGTTTAACATGACATTTATCACTAGACATGGACCTTAGGTTACATGGCTTGGAATGGCATTATAGTTTCCAAACTTGATCTTTAAAGAGATTAAGGTTCACACCCATTCTAATTAAGTAGATTTTTGTTTAATTGAGTCAGTGAGTCCTTCTCTCTTTTTATATGTTCTACTGATGGACAGATCTTAAAATCTGAATTTCATCCGGGTCCACAAATTTCTAAAATTTTGGGATATGCCATTTTTCACTAAAGAATTAGTTAAGTGGGAAACAATTAGAGATGTATGAAATAATGCCTTACACAAAGAGTTTCATACAGAATCCATATATAGATCATTCAATTTATATCTTGATCCCAATCTTATTCGGATGCCTTTTAACAACACATCATGAGCCAAGAGTATTCTCATCGATCCAAAAGATGGGAGATGGATTTTTTCTTTCATAAACAAGAAGTGATACAAATTTTTACCATTCAATTAATCTTCTACAGTGAATGTAGTTGTTGAGTAGCTCACTTATCGAATTTTCTAATAGACCTAAAGCATTACACCATTTATACGTGCTAAATGTGAGTAATTTAGATAATTCCTGATCTAAACCTAAATGGAAACTTCTCTTTAAATGGGAACTACTAAACGGATAAACCATTATCACTTGGTTGATGGAGGATGTTCGCTTGCAAGAAATTGACATCCGTAAGAAATCTACTCTTATATTACAAGTTACCAATTAAATTTTTTCTTTTTGGTACAGACCAATATTTATAAAACTGAAATTATCTCTAAAGTTGTTTAGCTAACAAAGGTTTATTAAAAAAAATTAGAAAGATCAAACCTGTGTTTGGATTTATATATTTTCACGCGATCCAATCAAGACATCAATTACATCTTTTAGAATTCCACCATAAATTGGTTATTTTAGCTCGAGATTTATTAATGTAATTCTATAGATTTAAATTATTATAATAATTATTTTTAAATTTATTCTACCTATAAAACTAAAAAGTTATTTTATTTTCCCAAAAAAATTCATGAATTGATTATTTAAATGGCCATAGTAATAAAATTAAGAGTTCTACCACTAAATAAATGGGGAAAATGTCATTTAAATCATCAGTTTACCATTTTGATGGTTTAAATCATGAACTTTAGACCTGGTGGGTTAAATCCTTAATTTAATGTTATTCTCATTGACAAAGTCAAATGATGCACATCGCTAACTGGCTAAACGGATTAATAAGACGATATCATCGCAGAACTAGCACTTCGAAGCCATCACATAATTTTTCTTCTACACCAACATGGTTTTCATCTTCTTCTTTGTCAGATTGCTCTGTTTAGCCAGTTAACGATGTGCCCCAATTGGCTTAGTTTACGAGAATTCGTGATTAAATTGAAAGTCAACATAAAATTGAGGATTTAAACACCAGGTCCACATAAAATTGAGGATTTAAATTACCAGATACATAGTTCATGCTTTAAACCAACGAAAATGGCAAACTGACGATTTAAATGACATTTCCCCCCTAAATAAATATACTCTGGAGAGATGCCTACCAAAAACAAGAGAACAAAAGTTGTTCACATGCGCTTTTATCAACAACAAACAAGAGATCAAAAGCTGAAAGGTAAAAAAATAACAAAAGTGAGGAGAGTGGGAATGAATGGACGTGGACAATGTTAACTTGAATCTGGTCAACAATCCAGGCAACATTAAATGTATGCTACATTCGTACAAAATTTTGCACTTTCACAACTTATAATTAGCCATGATTTCGACCTTCGAACCCCTAAAGACTTCTAGTCTTACTCATAACTCATGAAATCGATTAACTCATGTTTCTTATATATTAATTTAGAGTGAATTGTGTGTGATTTGGGAGAGTGAGAATTCTAAAGCTTTGTAGATTGACGTGGAACGGTGTTGAATAAGCGGAGCGAATGGAATAATTGTGATTAGTACATAACAATCGGTGCAAAATTAAAATGTTTTTAATTGTATGAAAATATAACAAACGGTGCAGAGTAATAACTTGATAGAAAAACAACAACAAAAAATAAATACAAGTTTTAGACTTAAACATAAATTATATGACTTGATTCTAGGATCGGACCCGCGGTCCACCGCGGGAGAATATTGGTTTACATACGTTGATTTTAATATTGTCCGTGTTTTAAGTAGAATGAATCGTGTAGTGTACTTATAAATATTCATAATAACGAATTGTAGAGAAAATGTTAAATTATTTATAATTAAACCGATCATATTAATTATGATTATAAAATAGAATTTTATGTTTTAGAATTCTAAAATTAGATGATTAGGAATTAGAGCAGTCAAAATAGGTCAAAAACCGTCTCGAGCCCAAATCATCTCACTATGGGGCAGATTTGGGAAAATATATTAAACCCATAAAATAAACGGGCAACATGGATTGATTCGTAGTGGATCATAGGTTTTAATCGGTTTTCGTCCGCGGGTTGGCGGATCAGCCCGTATGTTAGTATTTATTGATAAAAATATAATTTATTCAACATTTGGTAATTTAAAAAAACTTTTAATAAATGAAATTATAATATTTATAAATATAATGATATATAAAATTATTTTCTCTAAAATTTTTTAATTTATTTTAGTAGTATTTTAAATTTTCTTTACTTTAAAACTATTTAAACAAAAACCCACGAACAACCCCGCAAATCAGCATACACATTCGCGGGACGGATTTGTGTTTCATATATGCTACCCGTGGGTCGTGTGGACCGACTAATTATATGTCAAAATATATTTTGCCTATCACAAAATTATTTTCTCTAAAATTTTTTAATTTATTTTAGTAGTATTTTAAATTTTCTTTACTTTAAAACTATTTAAACAAAAACCCACGAACAACCCCGCAAATCAGCATACACATTCGCGGGACGGATTTGTGTTTCATATATGCTACCCGTGGGTCGTGTGGACCGACTAATTATATGTCAAAATATATTTTGCCTATCACAAAACGGGCTTAACGGGACGAATCAACTCGCTTTGACAGCTCTAATGGGAATATTATTTAGGCATACAACAAAATAGAATTTGGACATAGGAAAATGGAATATGTATCTTATTTGTTAGATGAGAGATTGAAACTTTGAAAGGTGAAATATAATGATTGAAAATTAATTATTATTTTTCATGATTCACAAAATTTAATAAATATTTATTATCTTGTTGAATAATTCTAAAAATCATATTCAAAAAATCTTTATAACTTTAAAATTAAGGAGGGGTTATTGGATCATTGATTTGAATAGAATTAGAAATCCCTATCACATTTGGAAATTCACACATAATCCACTGATTTTAAAATCAAACAATGTGGATTTGAGAATCAAATAAAGTTGATTTTAGAGTCAAATAAAATGGATTTGAAAATCATAGAAAAGAGATTATAAAATTAAAACATGAAATTTTTTATGATAAACAAAATAACCTATCATGTTCTCATCTATGAACTCTGAACTGAATTACTCCACATGTTTGATGCTCTTGTTTCTCTCCACTGATTGTTCTCTCCACACATATGGGAAGATATCAAAAAAGTCCATAATTTGGAAAAAAAACCGTTCGTTACGATGCGGTTAAAGTGATTCACCAATTGGGGATGAAAGAAATCTTTGTTAGTATGTCTACTAATGAACGTCATGGTTGGATTAAGCGTAACATTATGGAATGTTAGATTAATTTTTATTTGTTTTCTAGTATTGTTGGTTTTCTAGAATTTTTCCTCTAGTCTTGTTTGGTTTCGAAAACCTTCCTTTGTTTTCTAGTATTTTTGATTTTTATTATATGATAAAAATATACTTTTATATGAAGGTGTTTCATGATTTTTGGTATTAGCAGTTTTTTTTTTTGTGATCGATATGGTATTATACGAAGATGTTTCGTGATTTTTGTATTAGCAGTTTTTTTTCTTTTTGATATTCAAAACATTATGGAAAATAAAAACTACTAATATTTTTTTCTTTTCAAATCCACCCAAATAACTAGGTGGAACCCAAGGATTTCAATCTCTCTATTTATAACTAAAACAGATTTTCAAATCCATTCAAATCCAATATGAAATCAAATCCATACTCAAATCTTCAATATTGAATAAAGGGTGATTTGAACTAGTATTTGTAAATCATAGAACCAATAACACATGATTTTTATAAAGATTTTAAAATCAATGATTGAATAACACATGATTTTAGTTAGATTTCCAATTCCATTCAAATCAATGATCCAATAAACCCCCCTAAAATTCTTTGGTAAGCTATCAGTATGACAATACCATAGTTTCGATTTAATCTAATTAAATTAAAATTAGTTACATGGATTTCATATCTATTTAATTTACACGACCAAAATAAAAATATTTTTTTAATTTATAAAATAGATGGTTTAGTTGTGACAAATTTTCTAGAAATCAAGTAAGATATATTTCAATTAATGATAATTGGCTAAAATAAGCAAAATTAATGACAAAAACGTTGATTGTTATGGAATTAGTCCCAAAATATATGTACAAATATATTATACGTAATTAATGTATAGTATTGTTCGGAATATGCTTTTATAATTAGTTACCATAAATACAATCAGATTTTATTTGATTTCCATAAATATTTGATTTTAATTCGATTTTATCAAATATTAATTAGAAATCATATTAAAAAAAAAAATTCAAAGATCCGATTTCAGAAGTTTGGGTCAATTTTCTGATTTTGACCTAACCCATTTGCATTTGTACTTCTCTTTTAATGGTATGGAGATTTAATTTACACAACCAAAATAAAAATATTTTTTTAATTTATAAAATACATGGGTTCGTTGTGATAAGTTTTCTAGAAATCAAGTAAGATATATTTTAATTAATGATAATTGGCTAAAATAAGCAAAATAAATTACAAAAACGTTGATTGTTATGGAATTAGTTCCAAAAATATATGAACAAATATATTATACGTAATTAATGTATATATTGTTTGGAATATGCTTTTATAATTAGTTACCATAAATACAATCAGATTTTATTTGATTTCCATAAATATTTGATTTTAATTCGATTTTTTTATTATTAAATATTAATTAAAAATCATATTAAAAAAAATTCAAAGATCCGATTTCAGAATTTTGGGTCAATTTTCTGATTTTGACCCGACCCATTTGCATTTGTACTTCTCTTTTAATAGTATAGAGATTATTCGGAGTATTTTGGTCATCAACTAGGTTGCTATATACATGGATAACATGTTGATCGAAATATTTATAGAGAATACTAACGAACTTCATGGCCTCCACAGAACCAGTATAAGACGGCCTCATGTGGCTTGTGCACTATCTAAATTTCTAATTATTGGCTCTCTTGCTTTAACAAAACCACCAAACATGTAAGATTAGTTTTCTTGGTTTCTCGGTTTAACAAATCCACCAGTCAACTCACAATTTTTCTTTGCATATTACAGAACGTTTCGAACAATGCCGTCCCATGAGTTCGATGCATCCATAATGAGACAACTATTTAACATGAGCTGCCTTTTGAATATTAACTGAGACATGGTTAATTTTATTTTTGTGAGTTATATAGCATACAACGAATAGTCAGTCGTATACACATGTTGTTGTTTGGTTTGCGAAACCAGAATGGTTCGAATTTCGCAATGAATATTTAACTAAGAACAAACACACAGAATTTGTGGCGGTGTTGAGAGTTCGCCCTAAAATTCTCTCCCAGGCACGAGAACCGAGGAGCCGCTCCTCTTGACGAAATGAGCTTTTTCTTCCGGCGTTGCTCCTCCGACAACGTCTTCTCCTGATCGGTGCTTGCTGCTAAGGGGAGATCTCTCAGGTGGACCTCTTTGTCCGGTGACGGATCTGTTTTTCCGGCGAGTTTTTTTTCACCTAAGATGACGTTCTCTCCTCTGTCGACTTCGAGCCGCTCTAGTTGCTTACCGATGTCCTCGGTTGCTTTCCTCAATCTGAGGCCCACTCGTGCACCACCTCCGGAGCCTCCGTCTCCGCCGACTCCACCAGAACCACCAGATCCACCAGACCCGCAAATCTGCCTCTCCTTTGGTGAATCTCTTTCTCAACCGCCGAGCTTCACTTCCTTCAGCACGTTTGACTCACTCCTCCAACTCTCCTCCGCCAGAGCTAGCTTTCCGTCGACGACGAGTCTTTCTCACCTGCCAGCAAAGGGGCCCCTCACTGTGCAGCCTCCCGACGAGTCTCCTTTTGCAATCTGTTTCGGAGATCTTGATGCTCGTCACTGCCCAACCTCTTCAACCATAGCCTCCTTCAATGATGGTTGTTATCTCATCGACGCCTACACCTTCCCTCCTCAGACATTCCCCCAAGTATGCTCTAGCTCTTCACACTCTAATTCTTTTAGGATGGAAAGAATTATTTGGATGTTCGTTGAGTTTTTGGCTTTGGTTTTGTGGAACTCTGATCTGGCTTATTCGGTTTTGATGGGCTTGGATACTCTTGTGTCTACATTTGTGCTCTCTTCTAGCACTCTTATCGCTTTGATGCGATCACTTACTGCAGTATGCAGAGTTTATCTCGATTATGCTTTGTTAGAAGTTGTCTCGTGGCAGCTTGGACAAAGATGTTTGAGTATTGACAACCGACCAGTTAACCTGGTTCTTTGGGGTTTTCAAAGCCCTCATCTCTCCTCTAAGGAGCTTATTATCCTCCCAAATACTTCACTTGTGTTTAGTGGTATTGTTACAGGGAGCATTGTGTTCAAGACTGTTCTACTTGATGTAGAAGCGAGGATCATTGTTCAAGATTGTTCTCGTTCAGCTTTTGCTGACTGTTTGGCGTCAGGACTTATGGAGGCTTTGTTTTCTCCTCCTTGTGGTTTCAACAAGAACTTCCAAACTAAAGATGTTTGCTTTGTTGGATGCTCGTGGTTGGATGCCTCTTTGGTAGAACTTTTTAGTTCACCGTTATCCCAAAGTCTCATTTTGAGCTTTGTTGTTGCTGTTAGCTTTTACTCTTGCTCGACCTCTATGTATGTCGTTGTTTCGGTTTATCCGGCTCTTTGTAGCCATGTTGTATCCTCTCTTAGTAGAGGTTAAACTCATTTCTATTATATGATATGCTTAGTTTGCCCGAAAAAAAAAAAAAAAAAAAACAAACACACAAATCATTCTATTTGACAAGTCAAACTGATGACATGCTTTTATTATATCCATTAGAAAATTCGGTGAAATGGTCTATTTGGCGGCTAAACTCGGATCGTTGTCTTTATTCGATTTTTTACATTTTGTAGTGGAACAGAGGATTTTAAGATACATTTTGCTATATAGATTTTAAAACATTAAACCTTATTCTCATTAACGTTAATATTAAATCTCTTAGGGACTTACATGTATCCACAATTTATCACAAAAAATATTAAAAATTTGACTAAGTAGCAAATCAGCGATCAAAGATCATCAAATATCATCATAATTTCTTCAATGAAAAATGAAATCTGGGTAAAAGTTCACGTTCAAGTTACAATTCTAGAATTTGAGATTCATCAGAAAACCCTAACCATAAACTTATTGAAGCAGACAAAACCCAAATCGCAAGAGAGTCTACCATTCTAGCCTTCGCGATTTGAGCGATTAGAGAAGATAAATATCGAAAACAAGAAAAGGAAAACCTCCAGGATTGCGATCGTACCGTAGTTTAATCGAAGATGCACAATTGAATCGGAGCAATCGACTTGAGTCTCGAGTTATCCAGAGATCGTCGAGCGATCATCGTCGTCGCCGATATTCTTCCCGAGAGAACAGAGGTCACAAAACAGATTCCTTTTATTTTTCAGGTCACTTATTTTGTTAATTAATGAGAAATTTAATAATTAATACTACCGTCGTTTATACAAATGACACTAATCTGCTTTTAAATTTAACTATTCAAGTCACTTGATAAACCGACCTTAATAAAGTGACGTCTTCCGCAATATTTTTGTAGTGAAATCTTAAGGATTTTGTGGGAAAAAAAACCTCCAATTCGTTCATTTTTACAACTTTACCCTCTATCTCCAAAAAATGCAAGTTAATCATACGAAGCTCAAAATAATGTGCAATATAACTCTTATACGTATATTGTAAATGTTTTTCCTGGTCACATACATTAGATTTTTAAAATTCTAAAAGTATAGTTGAACTCTTCATCGTAAGGGCTTCGATTTGATATATTATTTGTCAAAATTTTAAAAACTTGACTGTATCGAATAAGGGCTATATTGCGTATTATTTTGGATTTTGTAAGATTAATTTGCATTTTTTGGAAATAGGGTAAAATTATAAAAATAAGCGAATTGGAAGTTTTTTTTTGCACAAAACCCAAATCTAAACAAAAAATAGTATGCCAAAAATAAGATAAATGAGATGGGCTTTGATGGGCTCAATCAGGTATAAATGAACCGATTATTGTTCTCAGTGAGTATTTCATCTTATGCAGATCTCGTTTCATTGAATCTGTATTGTTTTTTTTTTTCCTTAGTTTCTTATGCCTTGAATGGTTGTGGTTTTTCTAGTGGTTTTTAGTTTTATTTTTTCCAAAAATCTATTTTATAACAATTCAAGATTTTACAGAAATAGTTTTCCTAAAAATAGGAAATCTAGTTTTTGTGTGTTTCTACACTTTTCAAAGAAAAACCAAAATCCATATTTTTGGAGTTTTTCACTCAACAAAAACCAATATCCATCGAAACACTTATTTTCAATTATTTTATAATTATTTTTTTAAATAACAATATAGTTCATCGACCTTTTCATTTTTTTTAGTAATCTTAAAATAAATAAAAAAGTTTTATTCGGAATAAGTTATAGATAAAAACCAAAAACTAGAGAATTTACCATTCAAGTTTTTACAAAAATCAAAATCTACACCAAAATCAAAAGCCAAAACCAAAATCCAAAAACCATTTAAAAAATATACAAACATTCATGGCCTTAGTTTCATTAACAAAAAAAAAAATTAAAAAAAAAAAACAACTTAACAAACTGTCACCTCTATTTGGGGTCATCCCAAGTGTACTTCCATAATTCTTGACAATGAAAACGTTCACAGTAGGCAACTTAAAAACATTTTGTTTCATCTTATATAAACCCAATCACTTACTTAGATTCATATAAAATATAAACTCAATAAATCATTCCAATTCTCTAATCAAAATGTGGACCAACAAGTTCTTCTTCCTTCTTCCAGTTGTATGCATCGCCGTATTCGCTACAGCTCAGCCGTTGCCATCACCGCAACCTTCCCAAATAGATTGTTGGTCATCAATAGAAGTTATTCCCGACTGTGTCCCGGAAATTTTCCGATCTATAACAAATGGACAGTTCGGGGATGTAGGTCCTTCTTGCTGCCATGCCTTTTGGGTCTCGATGCTGATTGCATCCCTCAGATGTTTATCTTCGCTCCACTCATCCCTCCTTCCCGCAGACTCAGGGATCATTGTTCCAAGACAATAATTGTGCCATAATCCTTTTGAGACTTCGTTACAAAAAGTTTGTTATTCTACATGTTTTAGACTATAAATGTGCTTAATTAACTACGGTCTCTATAAGATATGTCTTTATTAACTTCCATGTAAAAATGGCTTTAATCTATCCATATAAGTTATATCAATATTAACTTCCATGTAAACATGTCTTTATCCATAATAAGTGAATACGTACTAGGCTACGTTGGTTTATTTATAAGAATAGTACACATTGCATTTGCTTCACAACTGTCTGGAGGACGTAGCAAAGCGGTTGTTAGAAATAATTCTACTTATGGGTTGTGAATTTGAGTTTTCCTTTTATTTTGGTTTAATGTTTTTCTGTTCGAAATCAGAAACCTATCTATATATACATTTTTGGAGTATCTTTAGCAAATAAATCATGGGGCTGAGAAGTATTTACGGATGAATGCCATTGACATTAATATTTAATCTCGAAAATTAAAATTAAAAATTAACACCTCAACAATATTGCCATAAATCGCTCCATATATGAGGTTGCTCACACGTACGATGTTTGCTGCTTATCAGAATTGACATGTGGGAAGGAATCTTGGTTTGTTGCGTGAGTAAGAACAAGTGTGATATAAATAAGAGAAGAGGTGATTAAGGAAGGTTATGTCGAATCAAGTGGGAGGTTAGTCGCTATGAGACTATGATGGGGAGAGAAGAATCTGAGGGAGTGTTGAAGATTCTGATCTTACTTTTTATTTGTTTCTTCATTTCCATTTATCTAATCTGAGAGTTTGGAGTTGTTGGATCTTATTGTTATTTCGGGATTTGATCTTGTATTGAGAGACAAACGAGTATTAATGAGATTTAGCTTTTAATCCATAGAGTTTACAAGTTAAAAGCTTATCAAATGGTGCGGTGAGCGTGGACCGAACACACGACCTTCTTCAGATGGTGTGTCGTGACGTTCGGATCGAAACAAGCTGCTATCCTTTTGATGATTTCAAATCTGAGTCAACAAGTGTCACACAAAAAACTATTGCATATCAAGTATTCGACATGATGCTTCATAGAAAGTACAATTACATTAACATAGGAAGAAGGTTAAGGGCTTCAAGTTTTGGAAATTCAAGTTCAATAGCAGCCATGCATGAAATAAGAGATTGGATACATGACCAGTTATTGTTGGATACAAGAGGATTTATTGCAAAGCTTCATCACTTCAAAGGTGCAGGGTGTAGCAATATGAACAAACCAGTGCATTAGCGGAAGCACAAGGCTGATAAGTGATAAGTTACAGGAAATTTCAGACCTTAGCTTAGTGTATTGGTCAGTCTTCGATGCAACCAATTTATCTTTCAAGCAGATCATTCGTGGTTTGATTCAAAGGAGAGAAAAAAAACAATCAATTTCCAAATCTGCAATTTATGAAGCAGACCAATATATCCCGGGTTTTAATTTCCTTTCATCAAAAATGTTAGATTAATGTAAGATAATTGCTAGTTAATTTACTTTAACTTCTAACTAGCAATGATAAATTTTAAATATAAATAAAATAAAAGAAAATTCGTATTAATTAGTTTAACAACTTCTTTTACATTTGAAGTTAGAATTTTTTTTATAAAAATTGAAAATACTATCATAAAATATTGGACATCGCTATTTGAACTTGGTTTTGGATGTTTTGTGTTTGATAATAGTTTATATCTCATTGCAATTTTTTGTTTAAATGAATGTGGCAAATTATTTAAGAAAAAAATGATTATGATATCTAATGATTGTAAGTAGATGATCACTTGTACGGTTGTAAGATTTCTAGCTGTCTAGTTCTGTAAAATTAAGAAAGTGACGATTATAAGAAAGAAAGAAATGGCATACTATTACTTTGAAAAGTAATATTTTGACTTATAACTCTGAAGACTAATTCTTAAAAATCAAACCTAATCCCTGAAATATTTGATTTTATCTCGGTTACTTGTATAAACAAAATTACAATGATCTTTAAGAAAATATTTCACGCAATTCGAACCAAAATTACACGGATATAACAAAAACTATACAATTGCATAAACAAAATCACGGGATTCTTTATTTTACTTAGGATCATTGTGGATGTCTTAGTCTGCTCTTTCACTTTCCATATCAATGCCTTTATCTTATTAGTAAGATGTTTATTTGAGAACTGCTTAAGAAATTATACTTAAATCACAAACAAATCACAAGAAAATAAAACATCGAATGACTGTTTCGAAAAAAAAGATTGTCCAGTTCTTTCTTTGTAACTGACATTACATCCAAATACAATCAACATTGTAAAAGAATTAAAATAATGTTAAAACACATGTAACAAAAAGTAACAATTATCCAACGAAAAATGTGAATCTTCCTGACATGAAGATGTATCGTATAACTTCAAAGACAATTAGACATATGAAATAACCATAGCCACTATAGTATGAATAACTATTGCTTTTTTATTTAAACTAGGTTATTAACCCCCGCTACGCGGGGGTTTGTTGTTATCAATTGATTTAATATTTTTTTTTGTTTTAGTATTTTTTTAATTAGCTATACATTAAAATTACTAGTACAAAAATACTATAATGTTTATTATTTATTCTATTTAACATAAATGTTCTTATTTATATTTTTAGTATCATTTACGTTATTTAAAATTTTGTTTTAATAAGAAAAAAAGTTTATAGGGTAAAATTTAGTATAAAATATATTACAAATATGATGTGTCATTATCTCTTACTTTTTTTATACTATTAAAGATTTTGCTATTAGGAAAATAATTATAATATTTTGACAATGGCCTCATTCATCCTAAAAGATCATCAGAGCATCTCTTATACAAAAATGGCTCATCCCAACACAATGAGAAACCTCGCCATCAAGTTTCAGCTACATATGAACAAAACGTTACCATAAAGAGGTTATGTCATTACTGTTTTCTCACTTTCTTTCCATATTTGATAATCCAAGTTTGTCTTATGGAGTTATGGTGTCAACCGCGTTTCTTTCTTTCTCTTTCATTTTTTACTTGGTGTTCAACCCTCTTTGTTACCTAATTATGACGCCAATTGTTCATAATGCAAGGAAACTGATCTCATCAATTAAATTTATTACCTTTCTTACGTCTTGCTAATTCATGTTTTTGATTGAAATTGATATTCTAAGAAGAACAACTTTTTCGATAATTTCAACACAAGTCTTTATATCTTTTGTCTGGTTAGATATCATCCAACTGAAGAAATATACAACCTAAGTTTCAAAAAAGAACCACGCAATAAGTTACCTCATTAGCAATAGACATCTTTCACAATATTGGCTTAGACACTTTTCCCAAGAGAGCTTTCTTGCACGGTCTTAGATGTATGTTTCTCAACTCTCACCGCAACCATCACTTTCCTAGATTTATTGTTGTATGGGGACTAACTTTGACGACTTTCTCATTTTGGTATACGCAAATTCACTATTGTTCTTTGTCTATCTTCACTATATTGGTTAGTGTAGCTCTTCTAAATATAAGATTCTATACAGAACTGTACTCATAAGCTTATCTATAATTTATTTTTAACAATTCATATTTTTCTCATTATTTTCAATATGTATATGAATTTCCGTCTTCACAATTTTTTCCAGAAAGCTATCACTCTTTCTATCTTTTTGCAAGCACTCATTTCCTTTGTTTCATTCTCTATTTCATTAGCACATCTACCATTCACAAACTTAGCTGGACTCTTTCGATACTACTCTCACCAAAACAATAAAAACTACTCTCAATCTCAATTGACAAACAATCTAACAAACAGAAGTATAATACACATATTAGGTGGTGGTGCAGATATGCAAGTAACAAAGTTATTGATTTTTATGGGATATAGCATCTCGGAAGGAGGAAAGTTAGATCCATTAGATGTGGATGTAATGCCGAGTGAATCACACACACAAAAAAAACGATCGTAACAATCGATGAGGAAAGTTAGATCCATTAGATGTGGATGTAATGCCGAGTGAATCACACACACCAAAAAAAACGATCGTAACAATCGATGATGAGGGTAAAAAAAATATATAACTTGTGAGTGTATTAAATTATGAGTATGAGAGAAAAAAAAATAGAAGTCCAAATGCTACAAGTGGCAAAAGCGATAAAAAAAAATTTAATATGCGCCATTAAAAGTATTAGACTGTGAGCTTCTAACTCAAAACCAATTGGCTATGAGTGGAGAGACTCGTATCTTATATATACCACTTAAGATCCTATTCAACTTCCAGTGTGGGATATTATTATCCCTAATACGTCCGCTCGAGATGATGGCTCTTTTAGCCATTGATCTCGAAATGTTCGGGCATTGATCGGCGGACCAATTATTTGGTTGGGCCGATGTAGATTGGGTTGAGCATGTGCGGATCGGGCTCTGATACCATATTAGACTTTGGGCTTCGAACTCAAAACTAATAGGCTATGAGTAGAGAGGTCCATAACTTATATATACTACTTAAAATTCTACTCAACTTCCAGTGTGGGCTATTGTTATCCCTAATAAAGAGTAGTAAGCAACCCTAGCTGTTACCAACGATTCAAAATATACAACTTAAAAATTATGATAGAATAGGATGCCTCCGGTTATTATTTATAATGAAAAGATCTAGGGTTAATCGAATATAGTTTTTGTTAATACTCTTTTTTTTGTTGGAAAATAAGAAACTTAGCAAAATAAGAATATAAGTTTAATGTATTCCACATATTGTTTTTCAAAAATTTACATTTATTTTTTCTATATATTGCTTTTATTTACTTCCATATGTTGTTTTTTAAACATTTACATTTCTATTATTTTCATATATATATATATATATATTTATTTCTTTTTCATAAATATTTTACTGTATAAAATATTATAATTTAATAATGTTAATTAACGATGAGTAATTGCGATTGGTCGTTTAGAAAATATGAAAATATAATCAAATTTGTGAGACTAATATAAATTATTTTATGTATTAAAATTACAAAATTTATATACATCTTGCTTCAATATATTGTCATATTTCTTCCTATCTATAGATACTTTTAAAATAAAAATCATAAATTTTTAAAATATCATTCAATGAGATAGCTATTGTGATTAAATGGCTATTGTTATTGAAAATGAAGTTACTAATAAATGTAGTGAGACTAAAAAAAATTCTGTATTTTCGTTTAAAATTGTATAAACTTAAAAAAATATATATAATTTTTATATTATGTATTTTGTCATGAC